CTCCTTCCACATGCAGCAAAACCAGAAAGCCACTGGTCACTTCGCCAGACAGCATGCTCTGACATATGTATATGCGGCCACGCTCCCAGCTACATTGTACTGAGATATGTACTCTCTTCATCAACCGCTATTACCTTCTGCGAAGGTATTGAGCTGGGGGACCCGGTGTGGAAACTGAATTCTCGTTTCACTCTCGTAGTCACTGGATTCGGCAAGAGCTTCATTTAAAAAGAAACATTTACAGAAGTTTATTTTTCTTCCTTCAGCATTAAGGAAACACAAATTCCCACCGAGCAGTTATTCAATTTATGATTTAATGCACTTTTCTCGTTAAATCTTCGAATAATCTCCCGAGTGGTAAGCATACATTTTAGGAGCTGGAAGAGTGAGAAGAAAGTAATGACATGCTTCGAATTGACTTGCGCGCGTTTGTTTATGAGAAAAAGCTGAGCTAAGAAGATTTAGTTATTTCGTAAATATTCCCCGGTGATCTTTGGAGGCGGTGTGTGAAGCGGGTGCCCTGTACGAGTGCGGAGGCGTGGGCGGTAGGGGAGGGGGAGAAGGGTGAAAGCGAGTAAGCTTCGAGGGAGAAAAGAAGGCGAGTCATGAACGAGCGGAGAAATTCATACTCGCGCACGTGTCTCTTCATATGTTTGCTCGTCTGTCACGATCGCTCACTCGTGCATTGTGCTTCTCGGGTCGAGTGGCACATTTAGACTAGTAAGCCTTTTATGCCGTCTTCTTTTTGAAAGTGTTTGGGAAGTTCTGCTTTTTGGAAGTTTTAAAGCCTTGAAGTCATTTATCATGCGACAGAAAGAGACAGAACGCTCTAAATATACATTAGTGAGTTCGAAATGTTTTTGTGAAGCATGGGTTGCAATAAATAATTCACATTAACTACAGTGTACACCTTCGTGTGTATTACTGTAAATAATTTTGTTATATCCTCCGTTTGGTCCAATGAAGGTTTCATACGTGAAAAATGTATTGAATCAATGTCTAATAGAATTTAGTTCGTTCTAAAGTACTAATAATGTCCGTCTCTTTCCGTCTTTCTTTGACCATCTGTCGGTCTGTTTGACCTACCGTCTCTGTCTATTCGTCTGTCTTTCCGTCTGACTGTACGTGGATCCGTTCGTCCGCCTGTATTTGTAGGTTTGTCTGCCCGTCTGTCTTTCCATCTCCCAGTCCACCATTCAGTTTGTCTGCCCGTCCGTCTGGCAGTGAACAACACTCGCGTTTTGAGCCTAAGTTGAGCAAAAGATTTTCCTCAAAGTTGATATTCCTTCAATCGGTCTTGTCGGCCTAACCGAATTCTGTGTAGGCACATATAAACAATTTTTTTCACAAATATTGTTCTTGTGGTGTCCTGATCTCTCCCGTCGAGAAAATGGGAGGTGAATTTTTTTTTTCTATTTCTTGTTTTTTAAAAGAATGGAAGGAAGCAGTGTCTGTGGCTCGAGAGGATGAGGAACGCTGTGGAGTCTTGGGTGCTCTCTCGGAACAGTACTGTCCATATGAAGAAATAGCCTTTCAATAGCTGATGAAAGGTTTACTCGATTAATTTTTCCAATCTCTAGGATTTTTTTCATAATTATGGAACTTTTTAGATGCTACAACATAATTTTAAAATTATTTATTTGATTATTATTATTTTTAAGATAATATTTATTGCGATATCTCTTAGGGACACTTCTTCCGTTTAAATATTTAATCTGAATTATGTTTTCTCATGGTCTTATATCACTTACGTGACATAGGAGGCAAATATTAGAAATGCACTACTAAGTATTTGGAATTCCTTTGCATTTATGAATTAATGAGAATGATGTGACACTTTGTATTTCTCAGCCACAATGATCAAATTCTCATAATATCCGTAAACCTTCTGTTTTTTATGAATATCTATCGCCACTGTGTATGCTATTGTAGACGTTTGAAATTTATTTTGGCAACCATAGTGGCAATCATTACTTTTTACTTTCATGTCCCCCTTTACTAGTTTGAAACCACGGAGGAAAAAATTGGTCGAAAATGCTTTGCCTTCATTCGATAATTTTAAACATGTAAATACATTGCAGTCTCATAACAATGCAAGTAGTGAGCACACTAAGGAACTTAACCTTACGAAATCTTCTCTAAGCACAAGATCAAATAGTGGACAAATGATAAAATAACCAACCACGACCGATGCTTGAAGCAAAATGGGTTAATGAAGAAATTTCTAAGCGGAAAAGCTGTTAAAACAGTCATCGGTAAAAGCGTGTAGCTACATCTGTATTGTTTCACTTGCTATACCGCGCAAAAATAATCCATATTCATAGTTTTTCCCTGACAGAAGTTGTTGTTTTGATGTTTTCTCTGGAAAGTCACACTAGGAGGAATGGCAATCAGTGGTTTTCTATTTAAACAATAGTTTTCGTTTACTTTCATATGAAAACATGAGGAACAGATGTAGCTAGAATCAACAGAACTGCGGTGTGTTTTCATGAAATGTCCTAGCCTGTGTAGTTGGTAAATCAGAAGCTTTCTCACAAGAAATATACCCTCTAAAATGTCCCTGCTTTATTTATCCTGATTCGATTGCAATCTTAAATAAAATTAATTCTGGGAAAATTTTGCAATTGCATCATACATAAAGAAAGTGAAGTTTCCTAAGTAATACGTTTGTGACGATGTGAAAATGAAAATAATTCAGAAGAAAAATCCAAAATGGATAATTTTGTTCTTCAGAAGAACACTGATATGAATTGTAAAGAAATAAGACGACTACCCACAACAACCAGAATTATTCTAAATTTATTGTTTTCCCGTTCGACGAATGTCTGTCGTTTTTTTCGATGATACATATTCTTACAGTGGATATTTATTTTTTCTGCAGGTCTGTATGAGAAAACCTTTCAATATTTTTGTAGTTTAGTAATTCTTTTTCTAAATTTAGCTAATTTGGTTCAATATTTTAGATTTGGGATGCAGAGAGGATGATTGTGGTAGAAGGGAAATGTGGTTTTACAATTTATTGTGCCTGGAAAAAGTCTTTAGGAAATCTCGATTTAATGCGAGAAGGATTATATGCGCTTTGTCCCAGTTCCAAGATTGAAACGCTGGGGCACATCGGAAGAAGAGAATATAATTGTTCAGATGTTTATGAGATGAATTCAAATGGGCACTTGTAGAAATTATTATTAAAGACCCACCTGAAACCGCATGCAAACTAACAATTATCATACCATCATCATTGTTGCGTGTTATCGATTAAATCCACTACACGGAAGCAATAGTCCCCATAACAAGGCAGGGAAACGCACCGCTTTCCACCGGCGCTCTAATGACCAATTTAGAACTGCGCGTTTTTTGTGGCTGTGGTCCCTCCGCGAGCGGGGGGGCGGCGGAGAGGGGCACGAGCCGGCGCCTGGCAGTCCCGCGACCACTAATGCATGCGCGGTGGTACGAGGGGCTGGGGGGGGGACAGAGGGGGCGCAGGCCGGGGGCCGCGGCGACGCCTCAAATGG